GGTGCGCTCTCTTGTAGCCGATATAATAAAAATATTACTAATTTTTTTAATTAATACACAAACTTATACACACTCATCGCATCGATGTGATCGTAACCACCCTATAATAATAATAATAATAAAAAATAACCTTTGGTGGTAGGACGTATTTTTTCGTCTGCGCGTTAACTGAAGAGGTTGTTTTTATACAGGGTGTATTTCTAACAAAAAATAATAATAGTAATAATAGTAAAGATCGTTTTGCTTCGTTTGTATGTTAAATATATTAATATCGAAGGCGCGTGCATAAGATACATATGTATACTTACATTGCAATGCATTTTTTAAGTTTTTACTCGGACGAAGGAATTGGAATTTTTCGAGGGACTAAATTTTTTTTATGCTCCATCGGTTGTTGTCATTACCTGTATACCATTGCGCGTAACACTTGTGTAAATATTTATACATATTATAAATATAAACATTAGTTAACGAATTTCGATATTTCACTCATCACGTAACATACGATTGCTCTTTCGAGAATTTAGACAAAAGAGGCGAAATAAAAATAAGAAAAGGAGATTTCTGTTACTTTAATCTTTTATCGTTCAACAATTGAACTTTGACCGAAAGGAATTTTAAAAGGAGGTATTTGCAAACATTGTTGTATAAACGAATTATTACAAGCAATATCATTTTCATTATTGTACACGTAAGGACTTGCATGTCAGATACGAAAAACCGAAAAATTCGAACTCAAGCCCTCAAGTATCAAGGAATGAATTTAAATTTAAAAAAATAATAATAATAAAAAACATGGCAACATCGAACGTCTTTATCCCCCAGCTTTTACTTTTGACCATGAACTCGAAACCTTCCAATCGAACATCGCATTGGTTTTATCCTTCGGCACGATAAATAATATGAAAAAAAAAAATACGCGCCAACTCGATACGTTCCCATTTAGCGCAGACAGCAACACGCTATCACGACAATGAATTAAAAAAAAAAAAAAAAAAAAAAAAATTGCCATTTGTACATACTCTAAATTAATAAAGAATATTGAAAGATAAACGAAAGCAGATCTTCAAATCGATTCTCGCGTACATGCACGTACGCACGCAAGTAACGAAGAATCTGTAAGTCGAGTGTTGTGTACTCGACGAAAAATATGAATAGAGGGGAGGAAAAAAAAAATTATAAAATACTAACGACGACGAAGACGATTTTACCGAGTAAAATACGATAATTATAGAACGGAGGAGAAAAAAAAATTACACGTTAAACAGGGAGATAAGCAAATATGTAGTAATATACAAGTATCAGGGGGACAAGCGGAAAATCAATTAGGCCGCGCGGAAAACGGCCTCTCGAATCAGCCCGGGAAATTTTTCACACAAGCCTCGAGCGCTGGACTCGTAAGATTTTGCGAAAAAAAAAGAGGCCCAAAGTACGCACGGCTGGGCGTTCGATCGCGTCGGCTCGGCCGATTCCTCTGATCTCTGTTAAAAATACCCTCACCTTCACGCGTACAAGTATGTGGTCATAAAAAAATAAAAAATAAAAAAAACATGAATGGGAATTCGATGGAAAGATGAAATCGCACTACCCAAGCACGAGCGCCTCGGCCGCCTCGACGCATACGGAATTTTATTTTTAACATTGCTTATTGTAATATTGCTAATACACGAGCCGAGGCACTCGAGAACACGAGGTGGTCGACGAGGAGGAGGAAGGGGATTAAAAAAAAAACAACGTGGCTAAGGTATCGATAAGAGTCGATGCGTGAGATATGCGCCCCGTTCATCAATATAAAAGTTATATACATACGAGAAGTACGAAAGAAACGTGATTTTTCTTTGTTTCTCTCTCGCGTGTGGTGTTTGTATAAGTTGAGCGTGTATTAGGCAAAGATTAAACTATAAATAAAATAAAAAAATAAAAAAAATAAAGTAAAAAAAAAAAAATTCAATGAAAGTGGGAGAAAGCGTGTAAATGTGCGCCTGACAAGTATGAGCGTGGAAGCATTGCGGTTGTTTAGCGAAGCGTAACGAATGAGACTTTTTTGAGTAATTGTTATTATCGTGAATGGTGTCTTTGGGGGGAAAAAAAAATCTAATCGCGCTGGAGAGGCTGATTATACATATATACATACTATAAAGTGAGATAATTCGATATTATTAAAACATTGTTAATGATTAAAGTAAAAAAATAAAANAAAAAAAAAAAAAAAAAAAAAAAAAAAAAAAAAAAAAAAAAAAAAAAAAAAAAAAAAAAAAAAAAGATATTTGAAAAAAGCCGGAGGCCTGATGGAACGAGATGAGTAACGCGTATGTACATGTGATTGGGGGAAAAAAAAATTCGTAAATAAGTTAATAAATTAATAAATAAAAAATGTGGATAATCGGGTATCCGGAATTTGTCGGTTTCGATGTTAAGTAATGACACTTACTCTTAAGACTTCGACAGCGAAAAATAAAAATATTATGATAAAAGTATGGCAAAGGGAGAAAAAGTAATGGCATAATGCACCAGCACACATAAGATTTAAGTAATCCCATGCGTGATTAATCTTGAAAAAAATGGGCGAACGAGGAGCAAGCGGGACGATAAAAAATCTACGAGGAAAAGAAAGCGATAAAGTGTGTACTGTGCAGTAAACTCATTTAGTGCATAATTAAGGACCTTGCGTTCTAACTTTCACGGTGAAGAGATAACTTTCACATTTGCATTTGTCTATCTGTATAAATTTTATTGTATTATAAATTCGCGGCGTGCCCCAACGACGACGCGAGCGATCGCTAGATTCTCCTTGTGAATTGTTGTACCTACATGAATCGTGGAAACAGAGAAAAATTGATGAAAAAAAAAAAGTCAAAAATATATCAAAGCAAAAGGAGATCTGAGAGCGTTGATATGGTGATCTTGAAAACGAATCTTGCGAGCACGCGCGAGTGCCTTGGTGGGCGCCGGATTAGCAAAGATAACGTATAGTTGGCCTAGTACCAAGTTTTTCATGTTTTTCTCGCCCCGAAGTTGGGAATCAGCGAATTGTTAAACTAAGTATCATTGTCATTATTGTTGTAATTATAATTAATATTTTTATTTTTACTATTTTGTCACGACAATCACGAATGAATTCCGATCGGAAGTAGTAGCAGTGCGAGTAAATGAAAAACGTAGATAATAAAGTCACTTAGAATTTTGACAAAAAAAAGAATTTTTTTTAAATGATACCAAACGTAGGCTTTTACGGAAAAAAAGAATCAGAGAAACCTATTGAAGGAAAAAATTGCTTCAGAATTCCGTATTTTCAGATTCTGGACGCGATCGTCATCGAATAGATATTTCATGTCAAAAACGTCGAGTGTACTCGATATGCACGCGAGTCACTTACGAACGAATATGACGAATGCAATATTAATAAGGAAATTCGAGAAAGTAATGAATAGCAGTGCCGTGCGTAATGTGTGAAAGAAAACGAGTGCAAGAGATAGAGAGAAAACGATATGATGAAATCCAGTATGACGAGTCTTGTACAAGGTTTGAGGAAGTGAGGCGAGTATTGATCAATAGATGAAAACGGAATAAAAGCGGGCGAGAAACCAGGTTTTTTAAAAACTCATCTTGATCTCGTGGAACGAAGTGTCAAAATATTTGTAAACAATTAAGTACTTGAATTATTTATAAGCGCGAGAATTCGATCTATCGATCATACCATAAATACATGCATTTTAAAATTAACATATTTATATAATCAAAGTTGGGGTGTGCTATTGAAAAGTTTAAGAGACAATTCGAATTTAGTCTTGCTTTTTCGAACGTAAAAATACATAGTGCTGTCACCCATACGAGTATTTTTTATGTTGAATAAAAAAAAAAAAATATTAAATATTTTTCGTGATCTATATAATTCTATATTTTGTCAAATGATCAGCGACAAAATGTACTGTTCATTTTGTTGTTGTGTAAAATATGCAAACAGTAACTATATAGTATATAGAGGTATAAACGAACTGTTACATACGAGTGTCTATTTAAGCATATACTTTATCGTCGTTGCAACAATTTTTAAAATAGTTTATGTCAAATACAAAACAAACAATAACAAAATTTCGTATATTTTGCCGCTGAATCCCGACGCTTCGTTTCCCTTATATACTTGCGAGAATGCATAAAAAAATTAATTAAATTAAATTAAATTTGTTGAATAATAACTGGAACAAAATCATCCGAATTTCTTTGTAGTCTTTATGCTCTCTACGACTTTATTCGAATGTAAAACTATCCGTTACATTTGTGATGATTTTAACAATGTATGGGAAAAATAGAAATTTACTATAATAAAATATGTTATGAAATCTAAGAAATTTTAATCGACTATTTTGTGATTATAAAGATTAAAAATAATTAACCAATGCAAAGAATATTCGCATAAAATTTATTCCATATTTTAAAGAAATTAAAATTAAAATTAAAAAAAAAAAAGAAGAGAAAAGAAAAAAATTAACGTAACGAAAGGAAACAATTATAGATAAAATTTATTTGAAAATCCTGCCGTTTAATGTGTAAACGAGGCACAGCCTCCATTAAAAAATGGAAATATTCGTTGTATCAATTAATTATGTACGTTAGCTCGGTACGATGAATATTAAAAATATTTGAACGAGAAAATGCATATTCCTCGAACGACATTAAAGCACAACTATAATAAACAGAAAAAAGTAAAAACATAACTAAATTAATAGTCAACGAAAAATTGGCTGATAGCCAGGCGTAAGCTCGAACTGGCTGGTGTTTTTAAACTCATTTCCACGTGAATCCGGAGAATGTACGTTAATTTTTATTGAATAATAAAAAAAAATAAAATAGTGTCATTCGTGCGAGAGTAAAAATGAAATTAAAAAATGGACAGCCATAGGTATTGGACATGAAGGCTTGGTAAATTTTTCAGCTATTCGTAGTCATATTGGATAAACAACCAATTAAGATTCCTAAAAATTCAGCTGACGGTAGATCCTTCAAAATTTGCCAAAGAGCGAATAGCCAATGTCAAATCCCTACGTATAAATACGAAGAAAAGTTGTAAGTGTTAAAATTGAATAACGAGAGGATAAGTAATAAAACAAAAACACCATGTTTCATGCACAAGATTCACTTATCGCGGTTGCCTGTCGAATTAAAAATCTCCCACGAATTAACGCACGCTTCGTTGTAAACTTACATAAGACTCTCATCATCGATGCGAACGAGGAAATCGAAAAACAGAGGATAAAGAAAAGAAATAATCATACGTAAAATCGTTAGTAGTGTATTTATAAAAGTGGGATTTACTTCTATCACTGTCGACTGTCGGAAGCAAAGTTTTGTATACATGTGTTTTGAAAACCATAACGCGAGTGATGTGTATGGGTGAGCGCAAAAATGTGTGTATGTGTCGTTGTTGGCGTGTGAATGAAAATAAGTGGACACGAGATCGTTGATATGCAAATGAAAAATTGTTGTGTAGGTAAGAATAACAAAAAAATAATAATTAATTAAANATTTATATTACTATTGATACTCTTTAGATGGTTTTCGTCGATGGGAGATCCAAAGACTCCTTATGTGCCATTTTTAATTGATTACGTATTCCAAAAAAACAAATTGAAATCAAAGTTAATCGAAAGCTCGTTAAATCCAGCCGTCATTCCATGTGAAATATCATATGATGTCGGTGAAGGTCTTACTTATTTCCGTTAGATAAAATTTACCATTATTTTTTTTATTAAACCAAAACAATTATCAAATCTCTAGCCTCAATCATTACCGTGTAGCTGCGTGGACTGCCCTTCAGCGTGTAAAGCTGCCAATGATGTGCCTACCCTCCAAGATCCACTAGAGATTTTCGGCTGGAATATCTTCGGTGTCATAATGGCACTTAGTATTCTGATTTTAAGTACATTTTTTACAGTTTTTTATACTTTGAGAAATTGCAAGTCAACGAATCACAGTGAGTTTGATGTATGAATAATTTTTCTGCAAAAAAATTATCGATACGTTTAGTATAAAATGTAAAATTTTGTAAAACTCTCGATAGATAAAAACTCGGAAGTATCAAGTGGCAACGAAATAACCATTGAACCAGAGATAAACAAATTGCGGAAATCATTGAAAAATATATTCTGTGCACTTGGAAAATTTTTCGCTAATCGTCCAGTAACAACTTTGTCCGCCACTGGCATTTCCGTGATCATCCTTAGTTACGGGCTTACACAGTTAAAAACATCGACTAATCCGATTGAAATTTGGTCTGCCAAAAACAGTAGAGCAAGAGTCGAAAAAGCCTATTTTGACGAAAAATTTGGGCCTTTTTATCGCACTGAGCAAATTTACATCAAAACTGTCGGTCTTGACAAGGTATGTATTCAATATATTTGCCTCTTGTAATGTGTTTATTATTATTATTTTTTTGTTACTTCTCTATACATTGATAATCACATTAGAATGTTATATGTACATACGTTTTCACTGTATAGATTTATTACAACACATCGGATGAAGAACTGGAATTTGGGCCAGTTTTCCACAAGGACTTCTTGCTTGAAGTTTTAAATTTGCAGAACAACATAACACAGGTAAATAAAAATATTTTTTTATCCTCACCCATCAAAATTACTACTTCTATCCTTGTTTTTAAGGACGTAAATTGTTTTACATCTCTTCTCAAGCAATACATTATATTTTGTTGCCAATGAAGAAGTACTTAACTATTTTCTGTAGGAAGTGCTATTTTCTTTAATCAAAAATCTTATATGCAACTAAGAAGAAAATTATGACTACCTTAATGGTGCTCGATTGACTTGATGTCTGAGCCAGCGGCCAAGTCCTTCCTAGTGGCGTAATTTACTATTTATATAAATTATATGATAATATTATATTATTTAAAAGCTTGGCCAAGAAGATGACCAGGGGTTGGAGAAAATATGTTATGCTCCAGTAAAAAATGATTTCTCTGGTCCAACGACTATCGATGACTGCGTAATTCAAAGTATATGGGGCTTTAAAAATAATGATGACAGTACTTTTGGCGATCCTAACGAATCCACTGAATCCTACGACCCTAAAAAGTATTTAGAAGACTTTTACACGTGTTTAAAGTAGGCTTTTCATATCTTACGTGAAATGGCATAAAAAAAGAAAATATGGAACGATTCAAAACAAAATCTGACCATTTCAGTGCACCTTACAAAATTGATTGCTTAGCACCATACAAGGGTCCCATCATCCCAGCACTAGTGTTGGGTGGATTTTTAGAGGAAGGAAGAAACGCGAACAGCTACTCTGGAAGGGATTACATCAAATCAACTGCCCTAGTTTTAACTTTCATAGTCAAAGCTCCANTTGTAATTATAATTAATATTTTTATTTTTACTATCATTACTATTATGGTTACACTAAATATTCTTTTTATGGAAAAATTTTATTAAAATCCATGTTAAAAAACGAAAACGTTTATCGCTCGTGTTGAACAGAAGTACAGAATGTAAGAAAAGAGTGATGAGAAACAAGAAAACGTAAGAGATTGTATTTTGGGATTGGGAGAGAAAATAGATTTAACGTTATTGGTTGGAATTTATGTAATACTGATAGAAAAAGAAAGAAAGAAAATGACATTGTCAGAGAATTACGAAGACGGAGCTATATAAGTACGCGGGGCTATGACAGGAACAGAAAGTCAGAAATGTCAAAGCTATTGGTGGGTCTTTCTAGTATATCTTCTTTTGATTTCTTTTGTAAGAATTGTTTCTATAAGTAAACATGAAAATAAAGAAAGAGAAAATAATGATGGTTTTGCGATGTCGAAAAACCAAGATGAATCCTATCTAATATAATTCACGATTATACATAAATATTATATACATAAAAAAATATTAAAGAGGAAGAAATAGAAGTGGAGAAACGACAAAAAAGGATGCAACAGTAAATTTTGCGTTTTAAACTTGTGTAATGTAATGATAACATTGATAACGAGAAAAAAAAAAAAAAAAAAAAGGAAAAAAAGTCTCAGTGGTCGAAACTCTGCCGAGTCTGTCACTTATAATTATTGATCATTGAGTGTAAACGATTATTAAACGCTGTATTTATTGTTATTGCTCCTCGGTTAGGTGAAGACGTCTGAGAGGGAGATCCATTTGTACAATCATTGCGTCATTAAAATATGATTATTAATTACTGCGATCTCCATTTGTTTCATTTTCCAATATCCCTGCTACGAATTTATAATTTTATCATTTTTTTAAATGCTGTCTTATAAATGCATTTTTCCAGCTTTCTCAAACAATGCCGTCTAGATTTAGATTCAATAACAAAAATTAAGTTCAATGAAATTATTTTTAACACAGATTATTATATTATTACTGTAAGTACTCGGTTGTAGAAACAAGTGGTATAATTAGTCACTAGGTAACATAAATTTTTTTAAAAACAATATATTTTTAAAAATAAATAAAGTATAAATATAATATTTAGATAGAACACATGACGTTTAAAATGTTCTTTATTTGAATTGAAATTAAATTTAAAATCACAGTAGAAAAGAATAACGACCGTCCTTTATTAAAAATTGTGAGAACTAAGGAAAAAAATCTTGATCGATAACTTCCTGAAAGGCAACGCGTTCTTGATAAGATATTTGGTTGAGGTCACGATAAAAAATCAGGTATTGGACAGAGAGATACTCGATCTATTAAATGATCAGTCTGGTTTAGTGATCAACGTGTACGTAACGTCCGTGTTCTGTGCGACAACTAAAAATCAGTACATTTTCAAGTTTATATCACCTAGTTTTCACCAAATTCTTGTAGATCAATTCTGAATAGCTATTTAATAATGAAAAAAATGAAAAACAGTGGCTCCCAAGTTTCAAGAATGAAAATTTTTATCCTAATAAGTTTACTTCTCGTGTGGTTTCACGAGGTTTCAAGCCACGATTACCATTGCATCTGGTACGGAGAATGTCACGACGAAGGCCAAAAAGTTAGAAGTTGTTTATCGAACGACACTGCCAAGCCGGTTGTCGATCAGAAATCCGTTGCCATTCTTCGGAAAAGGTGTCCACATATGTTCCGTAATGAAACAGGTGCAGTAAAACCAACACATCATTGAATGATGATTATTTTATCTTTGCTTAAATTCAACTCAACCATATCAAAGATACAAACATCAATATGAAATATAAACAGATATTCCAAGAACGTGTTGTGACGTCACTCAAATAGAAAGAATGGAAAAGTCGCTGGCCCCATTAGACGCCTTTTTGGGCAGGTGTCCTGGATGTTTGAAAAATCTCCTTCGTTCGATATGCTCTGTTACTTGTGGCTGGGATCAAAGTAGATTTATGGACCAAACTGAAATTAGGACGAGCAATAAAACTGGCAAAAAGTACATTGAATCCATTGAGGTTGTTGAAAATAGAGATGAAAAAATTTTGAAAGAACATAATTTTATAAACACTGATTGGGCATTGGTTTTTGCACAGGTATACTTGTCAAAAGAATATGCAGATGCAACATTTGATTCGTGTAAAGATGTCGCCTATCCGGCTAGTAATTCTAAGGTCATGGACTTGTTATTATGTCTTGGTCAAGAGAAACCTTGTACCCCTAAAAAGTAAAAAATATAATATTTATTCATTTATTATACGTGGGATATTTTTCTCCTTACTTATATTACTGTTAATACGCTTTAGGTGGTTTACGACAATGGGAGATCCTGACGTTCCTTATGTGCCATTTTTAATTGATTACGTATTCCAAAAAAACAAATTAAAATCAAAATTTATCGAAAGCCCGTTAAATCCAGCCGTCATTCCATGTGAAATACCTTATGATGTGAGTGAAGACCATTCTTTTTCTATCAAAATAAAACTTTATGAATTCTTTTATTACTAATTAACATATTTAATAGTTTATTAATAGTGGTAATAATAATTACAACTAAGATTATAACGTTTACATTTCAAGTCGACATCGTCGAAATGCAGTTGTGTGGATTGCTCTGCAGCGTGTAACGCTGCCAATGATGTGCCTACCCTCCAAGATCCACTAGAGATTTTCGGCTGGAATGCCTATGGAATCATAATGGCACTCAGTATTTTGATTCTGAGTGCATTTTTTACAATTTTCTATACCTGGAGAAATCGCAAGTCAACAATTGACGGTGAATTTTATTTATAAATCATTACAATTTACATGCAGGGATTTAAAAAAAATTCGTGACAAAACAATAATGATTAACAATTCACTTTAAATTCCAATTTAGATGTATCAAATTACCATGTCACAACCACTGAGCCAGAGAAATATGTATTGCGAAAATCATTGAAAAATATACTATGTGCACTTGGAAAATTTTTCGCTCTGCATCCAATCGTAACTTTGTCCGTCACTACCATTACTGTGATAATCTTTAGTTGCGGGATGACGATGTTACAGATAACAACGAACCCGATTGAAATTTGGTCTGCCAAAAACAGTAGAGCGAGAATAGAAAAGGACTATTTTGACAAAAAATTTGGGCCTTTTTATCGCACTGAGCAAATTTACATAAAAACTGTCGGTCTTGACAAGGTACGTATTCAATATAATTGCCTCTTGTAATGTGTTTATTATTTTTTTTTTTTTACTTCTCTATACAGTGATAATCACATTAGAATGTTATATGTACATACGTTTTCACTGTATAGATTTATTACAACACATCGGATGAAGAACTGGAATTTGGGCCAGTTTTTCACAAGGACTTCTTGCTTGAAGTTTTAAATTTGCAGAACAACATAACACAGGTAAATAAGAAAATGAATAATTTAATAAGTAAAAAAAAAAATATTAAAAAAAATGACTTACCATTGAAGCTTGGCCAAGAAGATGACCAGGGGTTGGAGAAAATATGTTATGCTCCAGTAAAAAATGATTTCTCTGGTCCAACGACTATCGATGACTGCGTAATTCAAAGTATATGGGGCTTTAAAAATAATGATGACAGTACTTTTGGCGATCCTAACGAATCCACTGAATCCTACGACCCTAAAAAGTATTTAGAAGACTTTTACACGTGTTTAAAGTAGGCTTTTCATATCTTACGTGAAATGGCATAAAAAAAGAAAATATGGAACGATTCAAAACAAAATCTGACCATTTCAGTGCACCTTACAAAATTGATTGCTTAGCACCATACAAGGGTCCCATCATCCCAGCACTAGTGTTGGGTGGATTTTTAGAGGAAGGAAGAAACGCGAACAGCTACTCTGGAAGGGATTACATCAAATCAACTGCCCTAGTTTTAACTTTCATAGTCAAAGCTCCACATGATCAAGATGCGAAAAGTGCCGTTTTGAAGTGGGAAAAAAGGTACTGCGTTGTTTCAGTTCACATCTACCAAAATGTTGATCATACACACACTTATTTAAATGGACTTTGGCAATTGCTTTCAGGTTTCTCGATTTCATGAAAAATTGGTCGGCAAACGATCGCCCGCAGTTCATGGATGTGGCCTATTCCGCCGAAAGGTCCATCGAAGATGAGCTCGAGAGAACATCGGAGGCAGAAATCATTACCATTGTTATAAGCTACGCTTTGATGTTTGTCTACATAGCCATTGCTTTGGGGGATTTTGACTTTTCTCGTCAAAGTTTCGTAAGTACCGCAGGTCCGATATTTTTTCTAGGCTGTAACAAGTACAGTACACTGAGAGTAAAAAAAAATTATGAAAATTATAGAGGAATTCCATCAAAAATTACTATTCTGCACAGTAAATAGAATGCAAGCTGTTACAAAAATAAGGAACAGTTTTTTTTTTTTAAAGTTAAAATTATGGTTCAAAAAGTAAATTTATTAACCGATTCTTTTAAGGTTTATGTTTCCAGCATGGTAATTTTTACAGTTCCAACCATAATTGTAACTGTTGAAATAATAATTTTTTACTATTAAAAATAAGAATTTTTTTCTTTTCTGTCAATTTGCATCCAATTTTCTGTGCAGAAAGTTAATTTTTGCTGGAATTTCTCTGCAATTATTATTATTCTTTTCTCTCAGTAAACAGTAACAGTATTATTTCTACATAATTATCAGGTAACCAGTAGAATTGTGTTGAGCATCGGTGGACTCGTAGTAGTTTTTTCTTCGGTCTCTTGTGCTGTTGGAATATTTGCATACCTTGGCATATCGACATCATTATTAACTATTGAGGTACATGTTGTGGAATTGACTCGAAAACCAACCAACAGAATTGTTATAAATAATATTACAAGAGAGATTTATCTTCAACACTATTTTTCCAACCAGGTCATTCCATTTTTAGTACTTGCCGTGGGAGTTGACAATATGTTCATATTAGTCAGAACGTGCCACAGGTATCCCCGAAATCTTGACGAACCTGTACCGGACCACATCGCACGAGTAATGGGTTCAATTGGCCCTTCCATATTGTTAACAAGCGCTTCGGAATGCTTTTGTTTTGCCATAGGTCATTTTCAGCATAAAAAAATTTTTTATGCATTAATCTGTTTAGTAGAAAACCAGACTTTATTTCTATCATCTCATAAAAATTTATTTTCATTAATTATGCCTTTTTGCACTAAGCAAATTCTCGATACATGCAAATGTGTACGTAATAAGATCAATCTTTGTGTATTGAAAAAATATGACACAAATTTTATTTTTACAGGTTCGATGGCTGAAATGCCGGCTGTAAATTCATTTGCGAAATTCGCTGCAGTTGCAATTGCTATCAATTTTCTTCTTCAAATATCAGCCTTTGTCAGTTTACTAACGTTGGACATCCAGCGTCAAGAGGTAATAAACACATGCTTACTATAGTGCAACTAATAAAAATAAAAATTCAGTCTAGTAAATTTATTAACGATACACAGTGATTTCATTCATAAAAAATACTTAATTTTTGTCAGAGCAATCGCGTGGATGTTTTTTGCTGTTTGGCCGCAAAAAAGAAACAAGAGGACCAAAGAGGAATCAACAAAAACTTGATCAACTCCTTCTTCGAAAAAGTATTTGCCCCCAACCTCATGAAAAATCCCGTACGTTTCGTGGTACTTTTCGTCTTCACTGCGGCCACGATTGTCAGCGTATTTTTCGCCCCAACAGTTGACATCGGACTTGACCAGGAACTATCCGTCCCCGACGACTCGTACGTTCACAAGTACTTCAAGGTAATGCTCACATACGATTGTTACTGCTTATTATAACCATTTGGAGGCAACTTTACGTTAATCGAAATGACGACAATTGCAGTACATGAAGGAGCTCCTGTCGATGGGACCCCCCGTTTATTTTGTCGTGACTGAAGGCTTGAACTACAGTGACTTTGAAGTGCAAAACGCAATCACCGGAGTCTCGGGCAACAACAACGATTCCCTGTACCTGCAGCTTTATTCTGCTGCCAATAAATCCAGAGAGTAAATATCTCTGCAGTGATTTTTTGATTTCGTAGATTCATGATTCCCAACTTTTATTCTTAACTAAAAATTTATTTCAGAACATACATATCGAAACCTCCCAACTCATGGCTCGACGATTACTACGACTGGTCAATAAGTCCAAGTTGTTGTCGATATTTTCCCGGAAACTCATCATTTTGCCCACACGATGGTAATTCAATAAATCATACATTAAATTTTATGTTCAGTTGATGAGTTGACGATTAATTTTTTTATACCTTGCAGTAATATCTAACTGTAAATCGTGTGATATTTCTAAGGACGAAATTTACACGGTACGACCGACTCAGACAAACTTCAGAAAGTATCTTTCCTATTTTTTGGCAGATTTACCAGACGCAGGGTGTGGTAAGGGAGGAAAGGCTGCGTATGGAAGCGTAAGTATAAGTGAACGGAAAAAATTACGTGAATCAAGACAAAAAAACTGACTNACTTCCAATGTGATGGTCTTGCCAGTCAAGGTCTTGACGAAAATTTGCATTCCTCCACGAAGACGAAGAACCAAGTGAAGGGTGGATTCCTTCTGAATGTTGTAGTCAGAAAGTGTCCTTCCATCTTCTAACTGCTTGCCAGCAAAGATGAGACGCTGCTGGTCTGGAGGAATGCCCTCTTTGTCTTGAATTTTTGCTTTTACGTTTTCAATTGTATCTGATGCTTCAACCTCTAAGGTAATTGTCTTTCCAGTCAAGGTCTTGACAAAAATCTGCATACCACCACGCAGACGGAGAACCAGATGAAGGGTGGACTCCTTCTGGATGTTGTAATCTGACAAAGTTCTCCCATCCTCGAGCTGTTTACCAGCAAAGATGAGACGCTGCTGGTCTGGGGCTTAACTAAAAATTTATTTCAGAACATACATATCGAAACCTCCCAACTCATGGCTCGACGATTACTACGACTGGTCAACAAATGATGAATGCTGCAAATTTTTTCCAGGAAACTCATCATTTTGCCCACACGAAAGTAATTTTAGTTATATAGAAAGGCTTGAATTGAGTTTTGTTATACAGGCAGTGACGATTCAAAAAAAATTTTTTTTGCCATATTAGATTATGACTGCCAAACATGTAACAAAAGTACAGACCAGAAGTACACTTTGCGACCAACTGTGGAACATTTTAGGAAATATCTGCCCTACTTTTTATCAGATGTACCAGATTACGCATGTGCCAAGGCAGGAAGAGCTGTATATGTAGATGTAAGTGAAATGAAGCAAAAAAAATATTGGGCATGTAGAGAAAACAAATACTAAATTAAAACTTTATGTACTACATCAACTTTCACAGGCTGTTAATTATCGTTTAGACGAGTACAATATGACAGATGTCGGAGCCTCACATTTCATGACGTACCATACGCCTCTGAAAAAATCATCAGATTGGTACAGAGCATTGGAAAGTGCAAGGCTTATAGCCGATGCAATCGGTGACTCGATAAACAAAGCTGTTTCAACAGCAAATAGCCATTGCTTTGGGGGATTTTGACTTTTCTCGTCAAGGTTTCGTAAGTACCGCAGGTCCGATATTTTTTCTAGGCTGTCACAAGTACAGTACAGTGACAATAATATTATTTCTACACAATTATCAGGTATCCAGTAGAATCGTGTTGAGCATCGGTGGAATTGTCGTGGTTCTTTCGTCGGTCTCTTGTGCCGTTGGAATATTTGGATACGTTGGTACATCAACTTCTCTGTTAACGCTCGAGGTGCCTATGAATTAAACGTTAATTATATAATTGTACTCTATATTGATCAGATGTTGTGAATTTTATTACACTCGAAATCTACCCAAAAAACTAACATCATTTTTCCGACCAGGTCATTCCATTTTTAGTACTTGCCGTGGGAGTTGACAATATGTTCATATTAGTCAGAACATGCCAGAAATACCCTCGAGACGTTGCTGAATCCGTGCCGGACCACGTAGCTCGAGTGATTGGTTCGATTGGCCCTTCCATATTGTTAACAAGCGCTTCGGAATGCTTTTGTTTTGCCATAGGTAATTATTAACTACAAACCAATAACAATTACGGATGTATGTATTTCGTAAATACAATCCCTTGGGTCGATATTATTTAAGCCCACTATCTTACATAGATGAAACTCAATTTAAAATGCCATGCATCTTGCTTATGCTACGAGGGAAAAAAAATTACTGGACCACGAGTAACCTCTATTACAAGTGTATTGAGAAAAAAATGAGTATTATTTTTGTTTTTATTTTTATTTGTACTGAAACAGAAATACTCGTAAAACATGAAATCAATTAATATTAATATTCATAACTTTCGTAGTGAGATACCAGTGAACTAGTTTATACAATATCTCATATTTTATTTTGTCGATATATAAGGTATTGAATTTTAAAACCATAGGTAAAAAATAATTGAAAGTTAAGTAAATAAATTATGAATTAAATAATGTTGGCTTAACGAAGAAGGGGTTTGTGCAGAATAAAGTTATCCAAATTTTAAGCTAACTAGATGCAGTACAAATAATCAGATTATCCTGTAGAGCGAGTAATTTGTTAACTTAAATGATTAAAAAAGGGTGTATTTTAAAGACTTCGTGCCTCTCATGTTTGTGCCAAGGATCAAAGGCAGTGTTTTGAATATGTAGATCGTAGGACAGCTACATTCAATTTTTTTTTTCGACGTTTTTTTCAACTTTGGAACGTTAATAAGGGCCCTCGATTACCTTGATAAGGGAAATAGTGTTAATCAGCATTACCAGATCAAAGTTAAAAACACATCATTAATGTGGCGAAGAAAAACGTACATATTTCAGTTCACGAAACATTCCATGATATTATTTTCCTAAAAAAAAAAAAAAAAAAAATTGGTAATTTACTCTTACAAATTAGAGCTCTTGAGTTGATCAACATCAAAGTAGATTAAAAACAATTATAACAATATATGTATACATTNAAGGTCTTGACAAAAATCTGCATACCACCACGCAGACGGAGAACCAGATGAAGGGTGGACTCCTTCTGGATGTTGTAATCTGACAAAGTTCTCCCATCTTCGAGCTGTTTACCAGGATGGCCCTGAAGTCGATGTCTCTCTCCTTACTCACCATATTCGTTGTCACCCTGTTCCTGACCGGCTTCTCTTTTTATTCGGCTATAGTGGTCGCAGTGACAGTCACTATGATAGTCGTAGACCTCGTGGGCTTGATGGTTTTGTGGAACATATCACTTAATGGGGTGTCCCTCATAAATTTGGTCATGGTAAGAGAGTTTTACGACATTCACGTACACTTGAAAATGATAAACCCTTTAAAATGATGAATTTTTGTTAAAGGCTGCTGGAATTTCAGTTGAGTTTTGTAGTCACATTGTTCACGCTTACATAACATCCGAACAGAGTGACAGAAAAGAAAAGGCTATGGACTCACTGGCTAGGATAGGGGGTTCAGTAAGCACCAAAATATTCTGTCACTTTAATTGTTATTTTTGAATAAACGTTAAAGCACGTCCTCCATTTTTAGGTATTCTCTGGCATAACGTTGACAAAGTTCGTTGGTATTGCAGTTCTTGGTTTTGCAAAGACTCAAATATTTACCGTTTTTTACTTTAGAATGTATTTAGGAATTGTTTTAATTGGTGCGATACATGGTTTGATTTTTTTACCGGTTTTATTGAGTTTTACAGGTAGATAAGAGATTAATTTTCATATTTAATAGTGATGGTAGTTTCAACAATACTTTTTACTAAGTCTTAGACCTATTACTTATCGCGAGTAACTATGGTACAATAGTTATCTCCCAAAGCAATATTTTTTACGTACTGAATTATCTACAACAGAAATTTTAATATTCCAATAAAAATGTCTAGATAAGCAAATTACGAAACTTATTTAAATTAAATAATTGATGTAACAAACAACAAAGACTGATGTTATTACAGATTATATTTAAAAGCCATGATTCATGATCACCATAAAATTTTCCTGTGCTCGTTTATAAAATTATGATTCACTGAAGTACATCGAAGCACTAGTAGAAATTAAAATCTATTAAATAACGTTTAAACCATCTTGTATTACCATTTTCCCGTCTTCGAATGCCACGTGGATAACATGTATGTTCCAGCTAAACTAAAATGAATTTCAAAATTCTATAAACATGTCGCCGTGGAATCGATCACAAAAAATTTCTAAACTTTTTTCTTATTACCGATCTAGAAATAAAATGGGTGTTTTCTATACTTTTTTTAGTACTGAGGACAAAATTTCTCATAAGGTATATGAAAAAATTGTGTAGAAAATTACTTATCATTTTTAAAAATTTTGGTATAGCGAGCTGTACTACGAACATGCGATAAGCTCCAAATATTATCTCGTATTAGTAAAGTAACTTTTGTTCATGTGTAATCATTATTTCTACATGTTTATCTTACCCATCACTCAGAAATTGGCTTGTTCACAAAATCAGTTATTCAAGGTCATTATTTATTTCGTGTAGTACACATTTTAAATAAAATTATGGAATTTCAATTACACCGAGTTTCCTTTTATGTTGACGAGGAATGGTGGTAAAATTTATTGATAAAGAACAGTTTTTTTTTTACAGCTGAGAGAAGTGGACTTTGTTCACGTACTGTATGTTAATGACGGAATTTAAGTTTTGAATTTCAAGTAAATCTTTAAACATAATAAAATTACAATGAGTATGTGATTTCGCTAAAAACTGAAAATTATACTTTTTAATTGACTTAAATTAATCAGCTTCGAATGTCATAATGCACTGTTGTATCGTTTATAAATTTTTATACTTGGGTTGACACAAATTTCTAAGTTCACATGCATGACACATTTGAAAACGAAATACACATACATAAAATGTATTACTTATCGTTTCGTTAATGACTTCTTAACGATGCTGCCACAATCAGTAGAAATGACTGCACCTCCTTTTGAGCCGTTGGCTTGAACATTTCTTTCTAACTTTGCAATCCAGTATAGGCAGTGGACATACAAGTGGCAATACGTCTCTTGCTACACACTTCCCAGGATATAACGGCAATTTCGTACTTTCTTATATATTAACCGTTATACCAAGTTCTAAGTGTATTAAGCTTTTGCATGTCAATGTGCCATTTTAGAAACTTAACTTTTTTCGGGCTTCACCTGTGCCCAACCACGAAAATGTGTTAAATTTTGCTGGAATTGCTGAAGTTCACAAAGTGCATTTTGGAACTGTTGCAACACCACTTGTGAGTATAAGAAATTTATGTAAAATATTTTAAAAACCACCTTTTTGACAGTTATTTAAGATGCATCGCCCTAATACAATTCTACCCTTCTTCCGTCTAATTTTTTACTCCTATGTCATAGTATGCATATGCACATACCATCGGCTTAACGGCAGGAAGCTATTTTTCGAATCATATAAACAAAAAAGGCTACTTGTCAAAGTATGAGACAAGAAGATCACTTTTCAGACTTTAAGGCGAAAAAGTTACTGTCCAATTTTTATTGCTTCTTATTATAAGTTGGCTACACCGACCACAATACATTTTATTATAAATACCATTCGTTATACATCATGTCAACTTCAATAAACACGTCCATTTTATTTTTGTAACTATGTAGATTGTATTTAAGTATATAATTGTCATTTATATGCTATGTCCGTAGTATATTATTAATTAATTATTACAATATCAATGACAGTTATTATAAATTNGGGTGTCCCTCATAAATTTGGTCATGGTAAGAGAGTTTTACGACATTCACGTACACTTGAAAATGATAAACCCTTTAAAATGATGAATTTTTGTTAAAGGCTGCTGGAATTTCAGTTGAGTTTTGTAGTCACATTGTTCACGCTTACATAACATCCGAACAGAGTGACAGAAAAGAAAAGGCTATGGACTCACTGGCTAGGATAGGGGGTTCAGTAAGCACCAAAATATTCTGTCACTTTAATTGTTATTTTTGAATAAACGTTAAAGCACGTCCTCCATTTTTAGGTATTCTCTGGCATAACGTTGACAAAGTTCGTTGGTATTGCAGTTCTTGGTTTTGCAAAGACTCAAATATTTACCGTTTTTTACTTTAGAATGTATTTAGGAATTGTTTTAATTGGCGCGATACATGGCCTGATTTTTTTGCCGGTTTTATTGAGTTTTACAGGTACGTAATATGAAAATGAATACTAAAAATTGTTATTGGATGAATAATGACAAGTTTCAGAAATAAAATTTTGTAGGTCCTAGCATGGTCAGAAATCCTGTAAATGTGATAGAATAAGATTTTGTAGAGCAATATTTATTTGTTGTATTGAATAAAACTAAACATGGAAATTTATTAATAAAAACGATGTAAATAAATTATTATAATAATTTTATTTAATCAATTAATTTACCAATGAACAAAGGCTATAGTGTGTTATTAAAATTAATTTTGTTATGCCAAGATTAATAAAAACTGAAAAAATTGATATCAAACTTTAATAAAATATTCAATGCTTTAATTGCAAATCAGTCTAATGAAACACCAGTATTAATCAAAATAAAACAAATAATCTTAAAGCTATCAGTACTATCGACTTGCTACTGGTGATATGAAATAAGTTAACTTATAAGTTGCCTCCACGAAGACGAAGAACAAGATGTAGTGTGGATTCTTTCTGGATATTGTAGTCTGACAAGGTTCTACCATCTTCGAGTTGTTTTCCAGCAAAGATGAGACGCTGCTGGTCAGGGGGAATACCTTCCTTATCTTGGATTTTAGCCTTGACATTCTCGATGGTATCTGAAGCTTCGACCTCCAAGGTAATGGTTTTACCAGTCAATGTTTTAACAAAAATTTGCATTCCACCACGCAGACGCAGAACCAGATGAAGAGTAGATTCCTTCTGAATGTTGTAGTCAGAAAGAGTTCTGCCGTCCTCGAGCTGTTTACCAGCGAAAATCAAACGCTGCTGGTCCGGAGGGATACCCTCTTTATCCTGGATTTTAGCTTTGACGTTCTCAATAGTGTCGGATGCCTCGACCTCTAGGGTGATAGTCTTTCCAGTCAAGGTCTTGACAAAAATCTGCATTCCTCCACGAAGACGCAGAACCAGGTGGAGTGTTGATTCCTTCTGAATGTTGTAATCAGAAAGCGTCCTTCCATCTTCTAACTGCTTGCCAGCAAAGATGAGACGCTGCTGGTCTGGAGGAATGCCCTCTTTGTCTTGAATTTTTGCTTTTACGTTTTCAATTGTATCTGATGCTTCAACCTCTAAGGTAATTGTCTTTCCAGTCAAGGTCTTGACAAAAATCTGCATACCACNAAAATTAATATCATAAATTAATAACATTCTTGTGAAGTATATATGACGAAGTTGTTGAATACAATCTGCATAGTTACTAAATAAAATCAACGTACCTTACAAAATTATCACGTCGTGTTATACGACCGGTACTTGGGAATTATTGCAATATAATTTATTATGATCGGCGTAATGTCTGAAAAGTAACTTTCTTGCCTCATACTTTGAAAAGTAGCTTTCTTCCGATAGGCCAATAAAATGCTCACCTTCTGACTCATGCTTTTTCTTATTAGAGTACATTTTCAGAAGTTACCATAATTTTTTTTTATAGTATTTGTGTACACGACAGCTTTTATTTTCGTTCTCTCAAAACGCTTTAGCCGTAAGGAATTTTATCTCCAAACTTTCAGTTTTATCAATGACTCTAACATCCACTTATACAAATAATAGTTGTTTGTTTTTTTTTACCTTTTTTCAAAATATAAACATTCATCGTTTTACTGGATCTAGATTTACAGGAAAAATTACATTCAATAAGCTAACTTTTTAATATGAGCAAGTTACTTTAATTACAGTAAGATAGCCGATTGTACTAATAAGTGATATGTTTACTCGAAAAATAGTTAATTTGTTTTATCGATCCGCCATTTCTTAAAACATTATCTTTGGGTGATAAGGCATTTCGAAAAACAATTTGAAACTTTGACGATGTAAGTACACTTTTGACAAAACACTCAATTTCAGGTTTTTCGTATTCAAAGTAAAATATAATAAAAAACCACATTATCAAAGAATAACTATTGTCTTTTACCGTTAATGACAAGATTTCTACAACATCAGAAAAAAAATCACGTCAATCAAATAATTGATACATAGCCTAGCACTTGCGGACTTGCGGATAATCTGATTTACCTTACTACTTTGAAAAGTTTGATAATAAATAATATCCATTTCCAATTTTTTTTTCTCCTAAAACTTACTATAATTTCCCATTTATTTACGGTTATTTATACCTACGAGTCGAGGATAAACCAAAAAACCAAATCAGTCTGAAACAGCCCGGTATTCATACTGCAACGTAATTGTAACAGCGCCAGCTTATATGGGAGTTACTAGACAGGACGAAATGTACAGAAACATATACATAGTGAAATTATTTTTCAACTTTAAAAAAAAATTATTTGCCATTCGTAAGTCCTGTGTTAAATTGACCTTCATCTCGAAAGGAATACAAATTATAAAATTGTTTCTATAAAAAAAAATTTTAAATATTAGTTATTCATATGACACGATGGAAACCATATTTATTAAACCATAACTCGTTAATGAATTTTACTCGCTTGCATAATCCCTAAAATTTGCTATTAAATCATTTATTCAACTGTCCCGTAAGTTGTTATGCATTTCGGCCGGTCTTGTAACTCTACCAATCTGCTGTTCGGTAGCTTTCTTCCCAAGTGCATCGCGGCAAATACATTGCCCGAATCTCAATGTCCCAAATCACATTTCATAGGTCCCAAAAAGTACATAACTAGTTATCAGCTGTTAAGCCAATATTATCATAATATTTAAACAATATTTTTACTAGGTCGTTGCTATAAAATATTTGTAGATCAACTTCGAGCAGCTTTTCCACGATGAATAAAATGAAAAACAGTGGCTCCCAAGTTTCAAGAATGAAAATTTTTATCCTAATAAGTTTACTTCTCGTGTGGTTTCACGAGGTTTCAAGCCACGATTACCATTGCATCTGGTACGGAGAATGTCACGACGAAGGCCAAAAAGTTAGAAGTTGTTTATCGAACGACACTGCCAAGCCGGTTGTCGATCAGAAATCCGTTGCCATTCTTCGGAAAAGGTGTCCACATATGTTCCGTAATGAAACAGGTGCAGTAAAACCAACACATCATTGAATGATGATTATTTTATCTTTGCTTAAATTCAACTCAACCATATCAAAGATACAAACATCAATATGAAATATAAACAGATATTCCAAGAACGTGTTGTGACGTCACTCAAATAGAAAGAATGGAAAAGTCGCTGGCCCCATTAGACGCCTTTTTGGGCAGGTGTCCTGGATGTTTGAAAAATCTCCTTCGTTCGATATGCTCTGTTACTTGTGGCTGGGATCAAAGTAGATTTATGGACCAAACTGAAATTAGGACGAGCAATAAAACTGGCAAAAAGTACATTGAATCCATTGAGGTTGTTGAAAATAGAGATGAAAAAATTTTGAAAGAACATAATTTTATAAACACTGATTGGGCATTGGTTTTTGCACAGGTATACTTGTCAAAAGAATATGCAGATGCAACATTTGATTCGTGTAAAGATGTCGCCTATCCGGCTAGTAATTCTAAGGTCATGGACTTGTTATTATGTCTTGGTCAAGAGAAACCTTGTACCCCTAAAAAGTAAAAAATATAATATTTATTCATTTATTATACGTGGGATATTTTTCTCCTTACTTATATTACTGTTAATACGCTTTAGGTGGTTTACGACAATGGGAGATCCTGACGTTCCTTATGTGCCATTTTTAATTGATTACGTATTCCAAAAAAACAAATTAAAATCAAAATTTATCGAAAGCCCGTTAAATCCAGCCGTCATTCCATGTGAAATACCTTATGATGTGAGTGAAGACCATTCTTTTTCTATCAAAATAAAACTTTATGAATTCTTTTATTACTAATTAACATATTTAATAGTTTATTAATAGTGGTAATAATAATTACAACTAAGATTATAACGTTTACATTTCAAGT